TTCTTTGAAACACTTTTTTAATCTCAGTGTCAAAGTATAAATCTCAGTATGTGTCATATGGTTTGATATGTACCTTTTTTCTGTTCRGTTTCCGTTACCCATTGAAACTCATTACTGTATTTTTGTGCCAAAATTTATCTAAACMCATCAAAGTTAAGGTAGGTTAGAAAGTTTGTCTCTAGCACTGTGCGTTAACATCCTTGGACCTAATCCATTTTTATATGTGATTAGGAGAAGGTGCTGACCCTGAGATGTAAGCTGGGAAATCATAGGAGATCAAAGCTTCTTCCTCAAAGAAACTAGTCTTGCACAGTAACAGGTGAAAACAATTCTGCCTAATGACTTTGGCACGCAATACAATGAGTAAATAATGAATAATGCAGTTGAGATATAAAGCAGCAAATTTGTATGCCYTGGTGATATGAATGCAAGTAATGATTATGTAAATATAAATGAAAATGAGAAGTGTAAAAAGAAGAAAGTGTGATGCTTACAATAAAGAGAAAAGAGAGTCCTAAAAGACACAGATTTATCTGTTGCTATTAAATATGCAGAAACTTTAGTTCTGTAACTTCTGTAAGCTTCAGGAAGACTTGAGCAACTGCAGAATGGACATTGATCCAAGGACAGAAGAATGCAGTTGAGGCTCTATATTATTATTATTATTATTATTATTATTATTAGTAGTAGTAGTAGTAGTAGTAGTAGTAGTAATAGTAGTAATAGTAGTACTAGTAGTAGTAACAAAGTAAAATAGCTTAACTAGTGTTTAGAAATTGGATATAAGCCCTGGCACAACTGTTTCCTATCTCTGGTATTTTCTGATCTTAAAACTTCTGCTTAGACTAATTTATGCTGTACTTGTATTCCTGTGTTATTCTGTCTGTAATAGATAGCTTATCACATAATATTTATTAAAGTAGCTGATGATATATAAATGTATAGATAATATATATATGGATACTATATTCAGGCTTACTAAGGGGATTAAGATTTAGTCATTCTTTATGAGACATATGAAATAAACAGTATATTAAAGTTTTAACTAGGTTCTAGAAACATAATCTTCACCCCAAATACTGAAAAAAGAGTTCATAGAGGGTTAATGGTCTATTAACTCACAAAAAGAATGGTTCTGTAACAGAAATACCTCTATTATATCCTTTGGAAGGCTGCCTTCTAAAAAACTTCGTTTTACTTTGTTATGGTATGACCATATTATTTTTTGATTCTTTTGGGTATGGAATTTTGGATTTTGAATTTTGAATTCTTTATGCATGAATGTTAAATGCACAATGTTAAATGCACTATATAACTGCACTTTTCAAACCATGGTAGAACAAATTTTTGGAAATTGCTGCTGTTTGAACTTAACTGTTCAAAATGTTAACTGCAGGTTTGAATTACTGCCTGTTGAAAACTTGTTAAGCAGTGAGAAGGGGTCAGCAGAGAAAAACTTTGTGAAACATGTAATAGAATTAAATAGATTATTAGAGTTCATATTGCCATTTAAGATTACTGAAAGTTACACACTTTTTAACATTTAGTTTTGCATAGAGGTTCTTTTCTGCAATAATATCTGTACAGTTGCAGTTATTTATTCAGGATTATTTTATTCAGAGTATGAAGAAAACAAGGAGTGCTCAAAAATTAACCTATTTTCCCATCCTGATCAGATGTTTTTTCATCATCTTATTATGATTTCTCTACACACACAAATGCTGAGGAAACTACAAAGATTTTTGCATGAGCAGAAGTTTTGCACTTTTATGATTTCTATATTGTTTCTTCTCTCTTTTCTAGTAGTTACTCCCCTCCTTAAAGCGGTATTTCAAGCAAACGGACCCATAGGCACAATGTATACACAATGGGAACATTTTGTGGTTCATCCAAGAAGTTACATTGGACCTTATATTGAAAACTTAAGGATTAAGCCCAGTTTTTATCTTTCTCCATTTCCCTGTGAAGGCTATCATAACAAGGACTCTTTGAGGTTTTATTATTGTTGCAAATACCAAAAGTGTGAAAGGTCACTTTTAAAGACTTGAAACATAGAGCCTTATGTTTATGTGCACTTGAATTTTTGGATTCTCATATGGTCCCTGAGACTAGAAGCAAGCAATAATAGGAATCAAAAAAATGAAGCTAGTGTGTTGGAAACTATCTACGACCATATGAGAACAATACTGTGAGAACAATAATGTAAGAATGTTTATCAGAAATCTTTTGATGAAATATTTTCTAAATAGAAAATAAACTGAAACTGAAAATTTCCTGAAAATATCTTAACTTTGGCGAACTTCTGTYAGCTGAACTAAATTCTGACCTCCCTCAAGCCCACTACCCCAATAAAGGATTCTTGAGATATGGTAAATGATGCCACCTACTTGAATGGTTTAAACCATGAACTTAAGTTTTGATGGCCTACAGTCTGCTGGTGTATTCAGTGCCTCGTGATTCTGTACTGTTTTCATGCTCGGTGAGAGTACTCTTTTCATGCTATCTAGAGTCCTACTGTTTTTCGCTATTAGTGTGGATTTCTATGTTAATGGAAACCCAGAATAGCCAGGTCAGTCTGATTAGGCAGAACAGAGACAGTGTGTATTGGAGAGCTGAAGAAACATGGTTTAGATGCATAATAGCTCCAGCATATCTGTAGGTCTTGCTATATAGCAAGTCTGCGGGCATATATAATCAGGAAAAATACAATGAAGAGGGAGTTGCTGCTTTTTGCAATGCATTCTTTCTTGTATAGTGTGCACATCATTAGGGAACTTAATCCTCTAAGGAAGTTGGAATTTTCATCCTTATTTGCTTGTTTTATTTTTCATTGTTGCTGAAAATTAGAAATCAAAACTCAGTTATGAAATAGAGATGCCGTTTTCCAGTCAGATCTAGTTTTCATTGTAAGTGAACACCAAAGAATAAAGCCCATTTGGTACCCAGCTAAGCACTTAAATCAGAGATACTCAAACGTTTTGTGGAATTGACATAGGTGAATTGGCACATTCAAAAGCTGAGCTCTTCCTATGTTATTTGAATTTCATATCTAGATGMCCATCACTAAATTAAATCAGATCTTTCCCTCAATGCCAATTCCCAGTTACCATATTCAGTTCCATGGTATTCTTTTCGATGCTTGAAGGGGGAAATACAGCTAGGATATTTCCATGTATGCCTATTCTTAGGTAGGTTCATGTTAAAAGCCRCTTGCAACATATATTTGTTAACAAAACTACAGTATAAAAATGTAGCACAGTTGCTTATGTTGAAGTCTGTAATCTATTAAAATATTGACATTTACCCTTTGAAATTAGTTAGTATTATTGCAGTGTTATTGGAATTTCTGAATAAAGGGAATATGTGCAGTACAGAAGTAAAACTAACTGTTTTCAAAGGGTAAATGTGAACACTTTAATGACATCTACTGGGGCTGCCAAAATTTTTGTAGGGTTTCTGTAGGCTAATTTTTCAAACAAGCCTGTGATATCTATCCTTCCTCCCTGATAGGGCGAGCTGTATATAATTCTGAGCTTCAGCCCGTACAAAAACACTGTGCAAGGTCAGGTTTGCTCATTCTTACCTTATAAAAGAAAAAATATCTTGTTTAGGAGTTTTCCTGTTGACTTTTGAAGGTTTCATTTGAAACAAACAAACAAACAAAAAAGTACAAAATGAGGTTGGGAGTGCTTTTTTTGCAAGCATATTACTGAYTGATTTAAAATACCTATTGGCCAGTTCTAAAGAAATCATACACTTTACAGAAGCAGTTTGCCAGACTGAATRGAAAATTGCATATATGTTAACTGTTAACTACAGAATACACATCCATAGAGGCTACAGCATTGTCAACCGTATGTAAAYAGAATGATTTCTTATTGCTTTCTCCAAGCTCTTGTCCCTGAAGCAATGTTCATTTTCCTATAAATCCTCTGTATGTTGCTGTGTCAGCTAGTGGAAAGAATTCAAGGCAAATAATTTGCTTATCCCTGTGAACAAGTTAATGTCAGCTATGTGGACTAGAAAAAACATTCCTCTAAACAACATGGATAGGCCAATTGTGTAATTGCAAGTGCAAAGTCTTCCATGATAGAGGGGAAGGTTATATAAACAGGAGTATTATACACATGTATCCATTCCCCTCTGGTCTCTCCATTTTGCTTACTTCTTAACATTAATGTTTTTGTAACCATATACTCCCCCAGTGTTTAATGGGATAGCACTCAGTTAAGTGTATCCCACAGGACTTTGCTAAGGTTTACTATTTTTAAATATAACCTTATGTCAAACATTGAAAAAAAGGGCAAAACAAGTCTCAGCATCTTCTTTCTTGTGTTTAAAAACACATGTCYCAAAGGTTTGTAAGCCCTTGTTGGTAAGGTTCTTCGTTCTCAGAAGTACCAAGTATCCTGAAATTATGCTGAAGAGAGCGAATTCTTCTGTTAAGGTCAACATCTGTTTTTTGTGTTTGAAAATGAGTTATTTTAGGAGATGAATCTTGGCTACTCAAAATACTGTATCTGTAGTCCCAGTCCTTTTGCAGCATTCAAAGTCTGTACCTGCTGCTGATAGACTGCAAAAGCAACCTGATCTTCCCCAGTAAGGAAGGAATCAGAAGGAATTTCACCACTTCCTGACTACAGAMGAGGAGGACATCCTTGTATGTGCCAGTTGTATCTAGACTTCTGATTCCCCTGAGGAAAGCAAGTAAACAAACCAAACCAAAACAATAAAATCCTAACTCTCAGGACCATGACATAGGCAAAGGTAAAGGCAAGCGTCAGTTCTGTATTTTGATTTGCCTGTCTGTGGTATGGAAATATTAGCTGCTTTTTCTAGGATTTTTGAGAGTCTAGTAATATTAACTATTTAATTAAAGAGCATCCAGATACTCAGCTAGAAGGATTTGTGTCTGCATAAAGCATTACCATTTTAATATAAGGATGTAAATATGATTAAGTGCTTTCTTTAAATAAAGAAAAAAATCTTTCTCTGAGCAGGTTTACTGAAGAAGGCTGGTATCTGTTTACAGACAGCTCGGTTGGAAAATTTGGTCAGACTGCTGACATTGCTACCCCAGTCATCTCCCTTACTGGGCCAAAATGCAAAATGGTATTCTGGAACTATATGTCTGGTGCAACAGTAGGTTCTTTGCAGGTAAGAAGAAGGTTTGCAGGTTTTTACTGCCTGAAATTCATGAAAGAAAACTCATGCCCTTGTCCTTTAGACTGCTAATAAATGAAAATGAGCAATTAGTAGCACTCCGCTGCTCTTAATACATTATGATCTGAAGGAGGAATTGGCTTGAGTAAGCTGTGGAAAATGTGGTATTTAACGATGAGCTAAAATTATGACCTTTGTAAATGGATGGAGCTTCTCTACAAGAAAAGCCTTGTACTGCACGATAACCTTTGACATTAAAAAGCATCAGTAGATATTTGAACATCAGTGGTTTTGGCTGTATGTGATGGCAGCAGTAAAAAAGAAATCATTGCATTCAGATTAATTCTGATGAAATATTGTAGAATGGGCTTGTTGTGTTATTTCCTTGAAAATTTAGCAAAGCGAATTCTTCGAGGATTAGTTATATTAAAACAAGCAAAATTTAATTTTTCTGAACCAATTTTCAGCAATATCACTGAATTCTACTGCATAAGTAGTGCAGATGTTAGGGTACTTGGCAAAGAGACAAATTTTTAATTCATCGGAATTAGTAGGTGGTCACAGAATAAAGACGATTTGTCCTCAGTTTAAAGACTCTAAACAGGTTGATTCACCTTGGCTGCTTGTATTTGCCCAAAGCTTCTGTAAAACCTAGGAACCCACATTACTTGGAAGCAAGCCCACAGAGTGTTTTGCAGAAAGTAACAGCAAATCCTATGGAACTATTTCCAGTAATAGACTATGAAGGTGTCACTAAAAAAGGCATATAAATATATATATATATATATACACACACACACACACATTTTTGTCTCAATTCCAACATGAAAGATAACTGTTTTCCTGAATCAGTTGTGGCTAATGACTTATAAGACTTACCAAAAATCTTTGTATCACAAAATCTTTGCAATCACACAATCTTTACATTTTAAGCATTATAAATAACTGTTTAATTTAGGTTTTTTGTTTAATTTTTCAGTTAGAATATTCCAGACTAAAAGATTCTTAGGGAATCTATCATTATTTTCTTCCAAAGATTGTTAGAATTATATGAATGTATCTTTCATGTGGTTGAAAAGAGTTCATCTGTCAGTCTCATCACCCCATCACCACTACATATTTAATTTACAAGTTTTGATTTTTGAATGTATCAATCCACAGAAGGCCTGCAAGACTCAGCTATCTGCTTTTTGCCTGAATGATTACTTTGTYGTGTTTCTACAACTTTCTTAAACAATGATCAGTTGTGTTATTGTGCAGCGCCCATGAATACTTCTTGGACCATTTTTATCTGGTTTCTGCCAGATGACTTGGCACCTAAATAGAGTTGTTCTACCTGACTAGCTATTTTTACAGCAAATTACAATGCAATCAAAATGTATAGGACTTCCAAGGGCACCAAGATACAGGGAAACCTTAGATTTTAATAAGTCATAAATTTATGGACATATTTAACTTTAAAATTACAACCTTTAGCATGATGTTATAGCAAATCTCAATTTCTGGTGAAGATTTGGATTTAAAGTGTAAACTGCAGTAGGCAGTCTACAGTGTGTCTGTGCATATGTGTCTGTATCCCTATGCGGTCATACATATGTMTAACCATATCCTTATTTATATACARTGTATATACAAGTGTAAGAGTCTTCTTTTTCGACATACCTCATTCTCTCAAATAATGTTAATTTTTTAAAATCTATTTTCCTTAATATTCATGTGATGTATGAACAGCTTCTTTCTTTTCTGAAAAGCCAGGTGTCTTTTTCTTCTTTTCTGTCTTTTTCTGTTCTGTTTAATGTACTGCACTTTCTTCTTTTGTTCCTCTGGATTGAAAGCTCTTCACTGTGCAAATCCGCAGTTTGCTTGGCAGAACTTACTTGCTCTACAGTACAGTATGCACTCATGGGACTGCATATGTTTTCCAAAAATGCCATTTTTTTCATTAAGATGAAAAATGCCTGGGCTGCCCTAGGAAGATTACACCAAGTAGCAATAAATCCTTGAAAACAGAGGTGGTTCAGGCAATTGGTGAAGTGATTTTTAGCTGTGTGAATACTGGCTGGAGACACAACCTGACACACACCATCAGACTTCCATCTTGCCATTACTGTTAGTAGCTCAGTTGAATTTGGATGCCTCAGAGGTGAGAGCAAAACTTGTTTAGGGCTTTGTGCTCTTGTGGAAAAGCATCAGATTTATACACCATTTACTGGAGTTAAGAAACTAATGAGTCTTCCAAAGTCCAAACAGAGAAGGGTTGGTCTATGGATGAAAAGAACAGCTTGTTATTAAGGAAAGGGAAAAGAGAGAAGAGAGAGAAAAGAGAGAAGAGAAAAGAGAAGACAGGAGAGGAGAGGAGAGGAGAGGAGAGGAGAGGAGAGGAGAGGAGAGGAGAGGAGAGGAGAGGAGAGCAGAGGAGAGGAGATTGTTTCATATAGAAACAGAGTATTAAATATAGCTAGGTTCTGTAGTGGCACAATCTAATTCAATCTAATAGATGCATGTATGATTATATTCTTCATTACTCTGGCTGTTAGTGCTGTTTTCCGTGGTTAACAAATGGGCCCTGATGCTTTCCTGAGCAATTTTTATTTGTGGGATGACATTTTTTACTCCAGGTAATTTAATGGGATAAATTATTCCAGATAAGAAAATAAGATGACTGTACTAAGATCTAAGACCTGTTTCTGATCGCAGGAGATCAGAAAAACCTGAATAATTTTCTTAAAATATTAATTTACACTGGCAAACCTTTTGAATTTGGTATTAAGGAGAAATATAGAGATAACTTCAATTGTTAATGAATCTGAAGTGAATTTTTGTTGAATTTTTTTCTTTTTCTTTCTTTTTTTTTTTTTTTTTTTTTTTTTTTTTTTTTGGAATTACTTTTTTTCCAGGTTCTCAGTAAAATTGGTAACATCACTACTAAGCTGTGGGCTCAAAGTGGCAGCCAAGGTGCACAGTGGAACAGAGCAGAGGTGTTCTTAGGAGTTCGTTCGGGTTTTCAGGTGTGTGTTTTCGTATTTTATGTGCTCTCTAATCATTTAATTATGTTTAGGTACTTAGGTAACTTAACTTGATCTTCTAAACAGTTATCTGGATTCGAGAGCAACATTCAGGTTTGCCAAAAGTTGCAATAGCTTGTAATACAACATTACTAGAGAAAACAAGTAAAGTAAAGAGAATGTGATCATTTTTGGATGGCTTTTAATGAGTTTTTAATACGCTTGTTACAATTATGCTGCTTATGTCAGCTTTACTGAAATTTCTGTTATTTTTATTAGGTTGTTCTCAGGGCTATACGTGGTGTCAGTTACATGGGAGATGTGGCAGTGGATGATATTACCTTTGAAGATTGTTCACCTTTGCTCATCCCAAACAGACCTTGCACAGTAGAGGAATTCACATGTGCCAACAAGTACTGTATCCCAAAGGATAATCTGTGTGATTTTGTAAATGACTGTGCAGATAACTCAGATGAGAACCCTAACATTTGTAGTAAGTATTGTATTTTTTATTTCTAATTATCATGAATAACTGTGTCTGCTGTGAATTGTTAAGGCCTGAATATTGTTGGCAGCTCACCAGGTAAGAAAGCAAACATGACTGTAATAATTTAATTATATTCCTTGGCTTTTAGGCATATTAAAATATTATTATTTAATTTGAAATTGTATGATAGTAAGTAGAAAGTGCTGTTAGTGAATTTATTAAAATATTTCAGAAAATTACTGTCTTTAAAAGCAGAATAAAGATCTTCTTTCCATATGAAAAGAATGTACAAAGAGTGAAAAAATGCTTTGACCTTAATTCCTTTGGGATATGAGAACCTGCTTCCTTTGATATTTCAAGAATTGTCACGTCTTTTAGGAAATATTTTAATTTAAATACTGCTCAACTTGGGTTTTTACAAGAGATACCAGGAAGCAGCATCTGTAGCACTGGATTAMAAGAATGGTGTTTTATATTAAATGAATGCTTCTCTGAAAAAAATGGATCACAGAATATTGTTTAGGTACTGTTAACACTTTCCTTTTTTATAGTCAAACCTTCAGAAATGCTCGTTTAACCAAATCTGAATTATCTGATACAGCGTTAATAGCTACTTCTTTTCTGTTGAGTTTATGAACACAGTGCATCAAATTCCTATTGAATACAAATCTATGATATAAAGGTATGCTGATGTAACACAGGAAAGGGACTGTTCTTTTTCAGGGATAGTCATTATAAAAACAAAGCAAACAAAAAACCAGCAACAAAAAACATAGTGATTTCCATTATTCCAGGAATAAGTATATCATTTAGCTATTTGGAGACCATTTTTGATCTTCTGCTACCAAAAATGAGGAAATGAGGTATCTATCAACTTGGAATTACTCTGTTGAAAAAGATTGTCATATTTTGGCATGTATTTTCTGAAATATTAAAACCTTTCTTTCTGAATTTGCATTCCTCAATTTGTCTACTTCCCATGGGACACTATCAGATAGTAACAGAGACATTATGAATATAATGATCCCAATAGGGTGCCTGGGTTAAATTTTGCAATCCCTAAATTAAGTATTGCATTCACATTCCTCATGGGAATAGTAAAGAATTGAAACAGTCTCACAGGGAAGTATTTCAGTGTAAGGTGATCTTTTATTTMTTGTTTTTAAGGAAAAATATGGATTACTGACTGGATTTTAATACAGGGCTTTACAACACAGAAGCTGCTTTGAAAGCACGGTGGTCATTTCCAGGATAAAACTTCTACAGTGCAGAATCACAGATGGTTGATGTTGGAAGGAACCTTTAAAAATCAGCTAGTCCATCTCCTCTGACCAAGCAGTGTCACTTAGATAAGGCTGCCCAGATCTCTGTGCAAGTGGCTTTGAATATCTCCAAAGAAGGAGACTCCACAACCTCTCTGGATGATATGTCTTAGTGCTCAATCACTCTTGCAGAACTGGACACACAGCAGTCTAACCAGGGCTAAGTAGAGAGGGAGGATATATAGGTGATCCTTCAACTTGCTGTCAGTGCAACCCAGGATACTGTTAGCCTTCATGTCCATAAGGGCATATCTCTAGCTCATAATCATCAACTTGTCTGCCAGGATTCCCAAATCCATCTCTGTCGAGCTGCTCATCAGCTGGTCCAACCCTAGCCTGTACTGATGTCTGGGGTTATTCCTCCCGAGGTGCAGGACCCTGCGCTTGCCTTTGCTGAACTTCATGAGGTTTCTCTCTGCCCATGAGGTTTCTCTCTGCCCAGCCTGTCAACATCCCTCTAAATGGTAGCACAGCCCTCCTTTGCGTGAGCCACTCCTCCCAATTTTGTATCATGAGCAAAAATATAAAGTGCACTCTGCCCCATCATCCAGATCCTGAATGATGATGATCAACAGTAATGAAGTCAATATTGCCACTTAGGATTGACCACTAGTTAGTGATTTCCAAATAGATTTGGGCTAGTGATCACTTGAAAGGCTGTTTTAAATGTGCACAATGTACTGAAGAACTTTGGATTTCTTTTATTGGTGACACCTCTGCATTATCTATGTATGATTGAAATAAATATTATTGCATTTGATGAAAACATTCATTTTGCAAAAATAATAATGTAGTTTTTCTACCATTTTGTGTAAAATGTACTTTATATAAAATATAAAAACAGTTAATTATAGCTTCATGAACGAAAGCTTTTCCCACTTTTCCTATTATTTAATACTACTGCTTTTTTTGGTCAAATGCATTATCTCTGCAACAGATCTCACTGTGACTTCATTGCTGTCAGTGGTCCCTGACCTCTTTTCACTTTCGAGTAAAACCATTAACAGATTGCTTTTTTTTTAGGTTGCAGATAAGTGCTGAAAAAAAATCATTCCTTGGTAATGGCATAGAATTGTCTTTCAGAAAGTGAAATAAAAATGCATAAATTATGACCACATTGCTCATTTAAATCTTGTTGTATGAATCCACAATTTGATTTTCCTTTGAARAAAACTTGAGTACCCTGTAGTCAGATCTAATCTGTAGTGCATAATAAATAGTTCATCAGCTCACTTCTGCTCTTARGAAATTTCTGATAATATAAATCTTTTTATATTAATTTACTGTATTTWAAAAAATGATTTTCAAGTCAAGAAGAACAAGATATACAAGAAATGCCCAATTGGGAAATATTCCCCTTTGTAAATCTGGTAGAAGAGCATAGAAATGCGGGCATATATATGTATATAATATATATATGTTATTGCCACATATTGGCAAGGAATTGTTGACTCCTGTTTCTTTGAGTGAAGACTATGATCTATGAATACATTTCAGTTTGCTTTTTTATGATAAATATCTCCAAAAAGTAGTAAAATAGAAACTATGCATTTACATTTCCAATCCTGTGCATGTGTTTTACCGGTGCAAATTATGAATCTGCTGGATTTGTTTCCACTTTTAAGACATAAAAATAAATAATCTCTTATTGTTGATGACTAAACACATTTACTGTATGACAGGTTTTTCTTTTGGGAGCAGGAAAAGTTGTTAACTTTTTTTTTCTTATGAGGAAGGGGCCTCATAAGATTAGATTGTCCGGTTGTTCTACTACTCCATCTTCTCCATGAATATCTCTAGGTAAATATTWAAAAAGAACGATTACTCTTGCAGTGTCAGTTCAGAATAAAGACTATAAAGCAGTCMGGATCTTTGGCTTAGCAGTAAAGAAAATACTTTTGAAAAAAAATGAGACTCGTAAAGCTTTTTCCTTTTCCATCATTATTTCAATTCTCTAGGAGCTTGCAACAGGCAAAYGTTTGTATGAGTTTTGCTATGTTAACCCAGAATTTCTAGATCTGTGATTGATAATGAGATTTCAGCTTTCAGTTCAGGGTTGATGGATTTGGACTGACTGCTGATGTGGTTTTGAATAAAGAAAATTTCTATCATTTGAAATACAAACTTAAAAGGAAAACAGCACAGAATTTTAACTTTGATGTTGTTGTTTCCATAAATATTTATGATTTCAAGGAAGATGTGTTCTGTTGTCATCACAGTGTTGAGTTTTGTGCTGCATTTGTKTTATTTAACCCCTCTCACATACAGTGAAAAAGATTTTTTGTTATGATCATAATATATAATATAATCCAGAACTGTCTCAAATACCATTTCGCAGCTAGGAGGCATTTTCTTAGCTTTCTGAATGTAAGCTTTGTGTATGAGAACAAGTATATGAGAACAAAAATATCTAAGAGTGCCGGAGAGGTAATAGAGGGGTAGCACTGCTTCAATGTTGTTCAGAAACTTCCGGAGTCCATCTTATACTATTTGAAGATACTAGTAAGACGGAGCACAAAGCATCTCTGGTTACATTATGYTCACACCTCCCTGACGTAGAATTTTTTTTTTTAGGACATCTAGTAAATTAAAGTTCATGGAAAAGGCTGAGGGGAGTAGTGTTTTTCCAGTCTGAAATGAACCACCAATGCAGGTGGCAGCACATGCCAGATATTTGGCTTTGTCCACATTTATTAATGTTTGTTTTACCTCCCACTGTACTACTGAGGTGAATCTCTCAGCTGTTTCTATTTACCATGTGATAAACTAGTCTCCTTTGACTAGAAAATAAGTATAAAAGATAAGGTCATCTAATGCAGTTTGACTAATGGATGTTCATCTCGCCGGATTATTCTAGAGGCTGTCTGAAGACACTCCTCTAGCTACCTACTCTTCCATTATGTCCTCTGCATCGAGTCTTTTGCTTTATGGATATGTTCTTATAGCTCTACAAGACTTGTTCATGTAGACATAGCTTTAGTAACTCTGAGATGTATAGGTCACAGCTTGCTCCTCATGAATATTTTCATTTTGAACAGTTTTTATTTTCAAATATATGAGTGAACTTTACATTAAGTAAACAATGCTTTTTTTTTTTTTTTTTTTTTTTTTTTTTTTAATAATAAAAAGGAAGGTAATCACCTTGTATTACGTGTCCACCAAAGAGGAAAAGTTCTTCCAATTCATGGGCATGTAGCATCTCAAGCTTCTGGGTCATATGATAGAAAAAAGCTTCTAGAGCACAAAATTTGTACTCATGTAAGAAAATGCTAGATAAGGAGCAGAGGAAATGTGTGTAAAATGTGAGATATAGTTTCTGGGATAAGATGCRAAGCTGGGAGTAGAGAACCTGCTGCCTTGTCTCTGAATTTCAATTTCAAGTTGTTTGGAGGGAATTTGTAAAAAGGAAAACAGCAAGCTACCAAGACATTAAACGTTGTAGTGTGATTTTCAGTTTATTTCTTCCTGTGTTATTAAAAAAGAACCTAAAAAAAAATAGAGCATGTGTGCCAACTGCAATTTTCTGAAGCATCTTCCTCATTACTTTAGTCAATCAACAGGAGACTCAAAAATTCAGAATTCACTTTCCCAGATTGAAATTATAGTTTCTAAATTCTACAAATAAAATAACTTAAAATAGTTTGAATTTTGCTCCATTTGATTACTTTCTTTGTTACCTATATTTTTTAGATCATTTGTGATCAGTGTAAAATTTTGTTAAATTATTAAACTCTTACCTAATAGATTATTAGCYGTGTGTCACTGCTTTACAAAGTGATTACCTTGGCTTTTTTACTTCATTACTCAATGTCCTAAGATTTAAGGTACAAGTAGACAGACCACTGCTGTAAATTAGTCATCTAAGTTGCCTACATTACATTTTTCGTCAGTGTAAAGGTTCGATTCTAAGCTGAAGTTTATATCATACGAAGTTTAAGTTTTTGTCTGTATTGTTTTGGTCTATATGTGGATGCCATGCATGTTAACTCCTTGACTTAATTATTGAGGCTTCTGACCAATTGCCAATTACATAAAGCTACTTCTAACTTGCTGAACCTTATCAGATGCCATGAGAGGCTCAAGCTTTGTTTATGTTTTAGGAGAAAGCTTTTGTCATTTTTTTGCATTATCAGACCAAGTGACCCATTAAGTTTTGAAATTTATCTTCAAAGCACTTTCCTTTCCAGCAACAATAGTAAAAGTATTCAGGGCACAGGCAAAAGTCTCTTGAAGTCTCTGGCAAGACTCCAGCGTATTTCAGCAAGTTTAGGTTTGCTTGGTCATCATTATAATGAGGTTATAGATGCATACAGAAATATATATATATATRTGTGTGTGTGTAACTTAAACTTTTGTAATTCTGTAATTGACTTTAATTTATGTGTGGAATTGACTTACCATGCTGACTCTTTTGACTTTCTACATTGAAAAATACAGCTAGAGCTATGGAGCATGCATTCTATGGCATATGAAAATCAACCAATTAATGTCAGCTTGCTGATTTTTTCCAGGCTTTAGATAAAATTCAAGGAGAAGTGCAGATAATCGTCTGCCTTTGCATACTGGCTAATAAAATGTATGTGTGAATTCTTTAGGAAGCAAACAATGAGAAAAAAAAAAAATGAACGAGGAGTTACTGAAAAAGTCAGCGATCCTATTGGAAAAAAGCCCTAATTATTAGGAGTTTTTTCTTTTTCTTTTTCCTTTCTTTTCTTTTTTTTTTTTTTTTTTTTTTTTTTTAACAAAAGTAAACTGGACAAGTAGGTCCAGCTCAGAGTTCACCCACCCACATTGTTTACCTGTATGCCTCTATACAGAAGCTGTGTCTCTTCAGTCCTCAACACAGCCACCTGGGTGGGATTCTGTTCCCTGAGCACTCTGGGTATCTCACCTGACCTTAAATTGTTTCTCCAAAAAGAATCCAGTTTTCTGCAAATGTCTTAGATGCCTGTGGTAGGCTCACAGTCACCTATCAGCCTCTACCTGTGAGAGTCTAAACAGTTAATCAGCTTGCTTCAAAATAAATTTGCAAATTCCATACTTTTATAACTAGAACTCTTTTGACCATAATGGGAGTGAAGACACCTATCTCATACATAACTAGTTTAGTCCTATCCCGTTATTATATCCCAGAGCATTTTAAATGTTGTTTTTAAAAATTGTGTGGGTGGTTCTTTTTTTTTTTCCTATGGAAGAATTTTTAGGGGGTTATAGTGAGGGTTGTACACTACATTCTACATAACAGTTTTTGAAGACAGAGTCTTCATGTGTGTAAATTTCTTTTCAGGCACATGTATTGGGTGTTGTAATTTTGAGTTTGATCTTTGTGATTGGAAGCAAGATGAAAATGATGACTTTGACTGGAACCTCAGAACTAGCAGTACTCCAAGACTGGGCACAGGACCAGCTGCTGATCATACCTTGCAAGAGCCATCTGGACACTACATTTTTATAAAGAGTTCATTTCCTCAGTTGCCAGGACAGAAAGCCAGGATTTCTAGTCCTGTGTTAAGCAGAAGGAGTAAAAACTGCAAGGTATGTGGGAGTATGGTATGAACATGAATAACAATAAAAACAGTAAACATGAGTATTTATTGGCTATCTAATTTTATGTAGTTACCTATAAATCAGCTCTAGGACTCTTTCGTGTTCTGGCCATATAATAGCCACTTGGCACTCCAGCTTGGAGCACCTCTACTACCAAGGACATTGGGAATTCTTATTCTATCCATTTGTGGGAGATACTAGCCAAGTAACTTTACTGAGAGACAATATCAATGTCTTTATGCTTATAGAAGATTTAAAATTMTATTATGTTTATGCCAGCAGCACAGGTTATTTAATTGTTTTATGTTAGATTTTTGTGCATAGTTGTCCTATTTTGTGTGTCTTACTGGATCTSAAAAGACTAATCTTGATGAATAGGATTCATTTAAAAGAAAAAAAAAAGCCTTTGAATTTAACTGATTATCTAATCATAGCACAGTGCTCATTGATAGCTGTCTTAGCCTGAAATAGTCCTAAACAGATTTATTTCATATTCAGGTGACACCTATATTGAAAATGTCCAGTCCTTTACCTCTGGGCCCATTTATTTCATACTCATCATTATGAAGAAAATCGAACAGTGTTAAGTTGCCTGAAACTCAGTAGAGTTCTGGTTGATTTGAGAATGCTGTTCAGCTCTTTTGATTGAAAATTTTCAGCTTTTTTGACAATTACTTTATAGATGCCAAATTTAGGAAACATTAAACGGAACTTCATCCTGGTTAAATTCCTTTCCTGTATTTATTACAGAAGCAGATGTCACATCATATATTACAGCAGACTTAAAGGTTGGAATCTTGGACTCATTTAGGTCAATGAAAAATGTTTATTGACTTCAGTAGGAAGAGAGTTTTATGCAGAGAAAACACATATACATCAGCAAGTATAAAGGGAAATATATAAACAGGATCATTTGTATACAAGGCTGTTGCAAACCAAACTGCATCTTCTAAAACAATAGAGGGAGATGAGTACTACAAGTAGAAATAAAGTGAGACTATGTCAAAATAAATATGCAAAACAAAAGGAAGAATTCAGACTCAACGTATCAGTGTTATATAATTATATCACCTAAAAACGTCGGAATAAGTAAACTTTGCAGAGAAATTTAAATACCTGTTTTGTATTAGTATTCACTGCATGACATTATGAAGAGATACTACCTTGACAGCTATTCTTAAAACCAATGAAGGTGAAGCATTTTTAGGTAATGAGGTACCAAAAGAGGTAGTATTAGAACAAAGTCTAAATTTAATTTGGAATAAGTAGCCAAGAGCGGATGGTATACATTGAGAATTCTTGAATTGAGAATTTAGCAATAAAACCAAAGTTTTAATCAAAAATATGACAGATGTCATTAAATTCAAAATTCTCTTAGAAGATATATGGCAAGTTCCCCTCCCCGCCCCCCAAGTATTATTTTTTCTTGTATTTTCTTGCATTGAAACCTTTTTGTGTTAAATTCAGTATCAAAAAAGTAGTAACAAAAGTAAGAATCAGTAGTTACAGTTTTTCAAACTTTAAAAAATCTATAGTGTATTCTTCAAGGTCAACCTGAAAAGCAGAGAAGTGAATGGAAATATTCTGGAAACCTTGGAGACTTAATATTAGAGAATTTGCCTTTTCTTCTTAATGTGAGCTTGAGTAGTTCACATGCATGGTAACATAAACCTGATTCAAATATAGATTGCATGGGGCTGCAGTCCTGAAGGGACTTGGGTACATGCTAAAAAATAAATCTGTGCCTAACTGTTTTAAGGACTATCATTAGCACTATACAATATACCTAGAAAGTGTGTGATAGAACACAAGATCGATATGTTGACTCCTATATACAATAAAATTTCAGAGAAATTGACACTAGGGTACCTCAAATAAATATGAAGCTTTTAAAGTAATGAGAGGGAAAGAAAGCAGATAATTCAATGGCCATATAAAAAGACAAACGTATAAAACAGTTGAGTATTTTTGAAAACAGCTGTAGCTTGTCAGAAGCAGTATAGTGGATAGCCCTATGAAAATATCATCTCTAATATATTGTTCAAAAAATGAAACAGTTTTAAAATAGTAAAAAGAAATAGTGACTAATCCTAGGAAGTGAAAATCATTGTGTAATTTAATGATACACGTATATATTGAATAGAGAATCTTCTAAAAGAAGAATTTCAAAGGAAAAAAATTTATCTCAGGACAAGAAATGAGCAGATGAATAAAAGTATTTCCATACAAATGTTTCTTGAAAAAAATATGTTATTTCATTGCATGGGAGATGTTCTGCAAGTTCATGTAATAATACTTTCAAAAGAATTGTAACATAAAGGCCCTGGCATATTTCCTGTTCAATAATTAGAGAAAATAGATTAAATACAAATGTGGGCTTTAAAAAAAAAAGTATTTATAAAATTCAAAAGACTGCAGAATCATAGCATGAGGTAACAAAAAGTAACATAATTTTACATTTATATGAGCATCACAGTATTCACTGTTATGTTTTTATAACTAAAATAAATAAGAGAGAATCTTCCTTCTTCAGGGCTCATGCCATGTATGAGACTAGGGACAAATTTGAGCTCTAGACATGTTCCTGCATATTATAACATGAATTGCTTTCTTTCATGGTTTTAAAGCATTCTTGGAAATATGATGATCTTTGTCAAGAATAAGATATTCAACTATTTTAAGTATCATATTCATCAGATACAACTGTCCCTTTGTTCTTCCTATCCTCTTGAATTGCAGTTAACTTAGAGAAGCAATTAATGGTAACTGCTCTTTACCATCTCTTCAATGTTCTGTATGTACTTGATCATACTTTAGTACTTTATCGTTTCTACTTTCCCCCTTTTCTCTCAAAAAACTCATAGTTTTCTAATCCTGGGAAGTCACACTTTTTATTTTATCTTCTCCTTTGTGTTTCTGTGGTCTATTTAGAAGATCTTATATTAGGTTAGAGAGAATTTTGTAATTAGCCAGTCCGTAATGTATCACAAGCATTTTATAGGCAGAAAGGTGTTAACACTTGGTAAATTGAAGTTATTTCCCATACTGTAAATGCCACTGCTCCCTTCCCTTGTTTTTTTTTACCAAGTGTTTTCTGTCTTTCACATTTGCATATGAGAGTTACTCAAAGACATGCAAAGTCAGCTGTCCCAGTATTGCAGTGTTGGCTTCCAAGTATCTTTTGGTTCATGGAATAATTCAAAAAATTGCATTAGTAAGTCTTTTTTTTTTTTTGTGTGTGTGTGTGTGTGTTAATTAAATTGTCTCTGACTCAGTAAAGTTGAGCTCTTCTTAATGCTACTCTCCATTTAAAAATTAGGATAATAGAATGTGTTTCAGGTCACCTGTTGTATACTCAATGTTGTTATTCTTGCTTATTCTTGATTACAGATACTATTCTATTACTATATGTATGGAGCTCACATTGGGTCATTGATTGTCTACCAGAAGACTACAGCAGAACATGAAAAAATCCTCCTCCTYCTCACAGGAAACCAGGGAAATTTCTGGCAAAGGCAGGCATTGCCCCTGGATGGAGATGAAGATTTCCAAGTCATCTTTGAAGGGATAGTTGGAAAAGGTTCTGGAGGTGTCATAGCACTTGATGACCTCACATTATCCAGGGAGTGCTTACCATTCCAGGAATTTTTACCATTAGAGCCCACAGCAGTGACTCCTACAGGTATGTGAGAAATCTATGTCCATAGGCTGGCAAGAGTGAACAACAGTATAGTTTCATCTGATTTGTCTGATTTTCTGTCCTTCCTTCAAAAAAGGAACATATCTTTTACTAAAAAGACCTTGAAACTAATATGTGTTTAGAATGCTAATCAAATTGTCCTACAAAACTACTGTTTGGGTTCAAACTTGTGAATCTGCAGGTCCTATGTCTAGGCGTGTTTTCTTAAATGGTATCCTGCTTAATTCAGATTTATTTGTCAATAGTTGCAAAATACAGTAAAATAAAGAAGTGAAAAGGACAGAGCCAATGTGCACAGATTATCACGAGGCCAGTGGGAAGTACCCAGCTCTAGTAATTTTTAGTTAGTGGGAAGCCCTACTGCATGTTCCTGCTGATGCAGCATATGCATCCTGTTCCCTTGGGGTGAGCACTGGCTTTGGTGCTGTTGTATGCCCCATCCACAGTGCACCAGAGAAATAAGACTCAGAAAGATTTTACCAAACATTATAGTTCTGATGGAATCTGATTGGAGAGGTGTGTGAAGGCAAATGATGAAGAAGAGGCTCTTCTTGACATCAGAGGCCAATCCTTCCACGTTTATCAGTAGAACTATTGAAATTTTAACCCCCATGTTAGAATTTAATAGATGTGTTTTATAAAATAAGATGTGTTTTATTTTATTGGGCCTACTACAAGTCTCCTTCGTTGCTGTGGCAAGTCATTTTGTCTCACTTTTTCATCTTTCTGACAGATAAAACAATGTTAATATTTCCCAATGTCGAGAGTACAGGGAGAAAGGATCATTAATTTTTGTGAGCTGCTTTGCTTTGTTACTGCTGCTAATGAGTAGCTTTCCTCTTTAGGATATCATTAAGCACTGCTTAGATACTGGGGGATAAYGATGATGAAACTACATCAAAGCTAAGAAATTGCACTATACTTTGCACACAAGATAATCAGCACAGATACGGGCAATGGATACCAGTACATCCCTGATAAGTCACCAAATCCTTATAGTATGTACTATTCTTTCCCATTTCTGTCAAAAAAAGTCACAGGAATTTATTACAAATGAGATCGGTATGTTAAATTTTAGTTTTATATGAATATTACCCCAAGAAGAACAGTTGCAGAGATTTCTGATTCCTATTTTATGACATTTTCAGATTCTATCCACTTAATGGTATAGACAAGTCCCTGTGGCGACATTGCAAACTTTACAAAGCTTTGGTTTTGATAGTAAAGAATGTTCCAAAATACTTCTTTGCACATAATAGAAAAGCTACTAAAATCTCTGGAAAAGACACCAGAGACCTCATTTCTTGGTGTAGCTCAAAGTCTTACTTTGTAAACTTTCCGGGTTCACAACACTTTGAAGTAATGGTCTGAATTCATCCTCATGGCATAAAGTCTTTTCTGCATCAACATTTTCCACTTGTCTTGGACACAAATTTCAATTAGCTACTGAGGATTCCAATTAACATCTGCTATTTAACAGTATTTGTTTTCCTTGAAACAGAGGTTTAGAAATAAGAATATGAAATCTATTCCTATGAGAGGAAACATTCTGAACAGTAGCAGAATCCATGCTTACGGCTTTGAAAAGTGAACTGTGGTATAGCTTTATATTCCTGAGACAATCATTCTGACTGAGGAAATCTGCTGCAAAAATGTTGACTCCTACATCTCTCTGGTTATATACAGAGCCACAACAGAGAATGAAACACTTCTATCTGTTGCTCAAATTCACTGAAAGTCTCTGAGGATCCAGAGCATCAGTCAGCAGAGATCTGCTGCTTTCTTGTCTCCATTTGGAGAGAATTTTGCTTGGCAAAGTGAACACAATCTTTTACCTCTCTAGGAATGGTTGGCTTTTAAGACTTCTTGTCCTTACAATGACATAGTGATGCTGATGCATATTTTTCCATCTATTTAATATGCACTTTCTTTAGGCATGTGTTTCATTTTCTTAGGACTTGCAAGGAGTGTTTGTTTGGTGTTAGCTACTCAAAATATCATGGTGAATAGCAACGGTCAAAATGTTTTCCTCGCCTTCTCATCACCCAAAGTTTGGTTATACAGCTTACTTTCTCACAGTTTAAGAGCTTCCTTTGTTTAAAAAAAAAAAAATCTTTTTTTTTTTTTTTTTTTTTAACAGAGCTTGTTGTATTCCATGGATTGAGGGAGACGCTTCTTTTTCTTACAAGCAATGCCAATGACTATGTAACATACAAGTATCTTTGCTTCATGCTTGTTATTTCTGCAGATAGTTTAGTACCATGCTAATGGGTGTTGTATAAGGACTAAATAGGGAAGAATTAGTAGCTGTTCACATCTGTACCCCTACAGCAGATATTCTGACTCTAGTAAAGAGCCGTTCCAACCTGCATCCATGCTTTGAAGTTTTGCTTYGTTTTTCTTTTTTTTTTTTCCTCTGGACAAATATGGGCTAGTATTTAAAGGCTGAAAGAAAGTTYATGATATCTACAAAACAAATTTGAAAGGTAGCTTTGTCATTTGCTGCTGACTGACCATCCACATGATGCTACTTAGCTATAGTGCTGGAGTGGCAGGTCACTCAGAGCCTCTCAAAATGCTGAGCCTGAGAAACAATAAATTTTTTTTAGGATGATGCTTACCAGCCATTTTAGCACTATCTATACAGAGCTATAGATTCTGTTCTGTGGCTCTCTGCAGTGTTTGTAGATGCTCAAGTTAGTCTCTGCTCCACAAAAGCAGCTGTTCATATCTGCAGGAGCCCCAGAATGGCCCTGAATCTGAAAGAGTTACAATTCCAGCCTTATTTCCTCTGGAAAACCTTATACTCTCCTGTAGGCCTAACAAGTGAGTAGGAATCAACTGATTTCTCTCCTTGCCTCCTACTCTTTACATCTTTTACTTACTTCTGAGTAATGGTAGACATCTTGGAGCTCATCATTTATATGTGAAATTGTATGGTGTTGTTTCACGTAACTTACATATTGTTATATTCCATTGTCAGTCACTCAGGATGTAATTTGTTTAACCAAGGATATTTACTTACATTTTAGTCACATAAGATTTCTGAAGCAACAGCGTCAGCAGATATGTTACAGTTCTTATGGGAAAATTCATCCCTTTGGGAGTCGGGGAAGGTGTCCTACTGCGCATCAAAACGTTAGACACTTCCTCTTCAAGCAACTCAGTCTCAGAACAGACTTCTGCTATCCTTTGTAGTTATTCCTAGCCCTTACCACCATGAATAACTTCGTATCACCACAAAAATGTCTCAGTCCATTGTTTAAACCCATTCCTCATCATTTATTAGTATAAGCATTTATGTATTATAAAGTCTAAAAGATATTGCATATAACATCACTCTTTACAGATTCTTCACATAGATATAGTGAGATTCATATAATTTTACAGATATATAACAGGAATAACCTTATTGGTTATTCTAGCTAAATATATAATTATAAGCATTAAAAAAACAGTTGCTTTTCATGCTATAGTGCATAATGTGGTCTTCTACTAAAGACAAGAACATTTCTACTTCTGGATAACTAATTAAATAACATTTTTTTTTTATGAAAATAAATATGCTTCTCTGAAGCATTTATCATTGAGCATTGTGCAAGAGAATGGGATCTAATATAAATAAATTATTTAAAACACTTTCTGATGTTTACCTGAGCTTTTCGATATTCTCCTTTTTTTAAAAGGATAGTTGATTTGCAAAAGTTTCTAATACATTTTTATCTTATAGGCATTCCCAAACCTGGTATTTTCAATGTCATAATGGAAAGTAAAGCTAAAAGACTATTTGGATCAGCAGTCAAAACCCAGCATATTTTTGACCCACAACTAATTATGGCTTTGAATGGTGGACAACAGAACATGATTAATGCTGTCTGCGGTCCTTTGTGGTAGAGTATTGTCAGTAGTTGTTTTTCTTTCAGAACAGTTCAGCACTTCCAGAACTTTCCTTAGCACTTGGGCCTCCAAAGATATGTTTCTTAGAAATATGTCACAGACCTGACATCCGAAGAAGTGTATCTTTGACATCCAAAGACAAATGTCTATTTCAGGTCAGCAGAAATGACTTTTCTAGGCTGCAAGTTTGAAATGCATCTCCRAGCAGCATGCGAGAAGGCGTGCTGAAAGGGCATGTCTTACTCCCTTCATTCATGGAACAAACTGATGGTTCCTTTGGGGCAATGAATTGCTGGGATATAGTTTTATGACCAAACCTATACTTTTTTAAAGTACAAGAGAAATAATCGACACTGTAACTACCAAGGATAACTCRGTTTAAGAGCACTGCTTATACTGGGAGAACTAACTAAAAAGATGTTTACTGTGTCTAAGCTTTTCCAGAACTGCCAGTGATGCTGGCATTATGAGCTCAGGTTTTTCCATATATGTTCTCAATGCAAGTCAATCTCTGTGTGGCAGAACTGAGAACATGAAAGCTCTAACCTTACTTTATATTCYGAAGAAAAACCAATAAATTACCCTTATTTGACTGGAAATCCTGTTTTTCCCTTACACACATGCAAGTAGACAAATATTGATGCAAAATACCTGCATTTCTACAGGTAAGGACRTTCTGCCTGGGTTAGAATTAGATTCCCAAATGTGGATAAGCTCACAGGCACAGGTGTGTTCATTCTCCAACTACATCAAGCAAGCTACATTTGAAAATGTTGTTCAGCACATACTTACCAGAGATACTTTTGACTGTTTTCCTTTTCTAGTTATAGTATTTACATTTTCAGTATAATATATATTAGAGGAAAATATTATATTACATATTTATAAATTTTATTTGAAAGTTTGGTTTATATTCTGTACTTTATACCAAGCAGGGTTTGAGGAATTTCACTGCACAGCTTTGTTTTCATTGTGTTATTTCTTTTGTTCTCAGACTCTTCAGTAGACTATGCCTCCCAAGTAGAATGATACTGCATTTCTCAGAAGATATCTAACCTGGCTGTCATAAGATGTGGCCAAATTGC